TGGGTTGTGTCAGGGTCTTAAAATAATTGAGAAGAATATGCTACCTTTCTATAACATCAAGAAATGATTAGATATCCTAGTCTTCTCGAATAGGGACGAATAAATGGAGGTCCCGTCTCCTGCAGGGTTAGGGGCAGGAGACGTTAATTTCCCACGCACGAGATTACTACGTGATGGATGTCCTCCCCTGGGTTTAGATGGGTGGGTAACAGGACCCCCGTTGATACCAGTGTTTACTACGCTGAAGGGGCTATCCTGTATAAATATAGATGCCTACTTCTACTACTAAACAGTCAGGTGCGAGCTTTTATCGCCTTACGGTCACTTTTGTTTACTGTCTACAGATCCATTGTGATATTTAGTTCAAAGCAAAATGGCGCTTTTAATAATACTAAGCAATTTTGAATATCACAATGGTCTATCGGTGTTGGACACTTCTACTTGCAGGAATAGTCAATTATTACCTTCTTTTTTTAACTTCTTCAGAAAATGATTTATTTAATAGAATACTAAATTACTAGTCAGTAATCCACCTTTTCTTCTACCTAAACGTTTTTAAAAAGTCATTAGTTCTTAACCAATTTCTTTAATAGAATTTTTCCAGTGACTGCCCAACTAAAATTGAGGCTTCGATAGCCCATAAAGTGGCTCAACCTCTTCAGCGACCAATCAAAAACCATTCCCTTTCCTTTACCTTTGTCACTGGGCCCTGGAAACTCTTCTCTCTCCACCTGCTCCTCAGATTTACCAGCTTTAAAAAAGCAAAGCTAGAATAAGGTTATGCAAGGGAATAAATTGAGAATTACTCTAACTGTCACTGTATAAGCTACAACAATTCCTGTCAAATAAAGAAATGAAGCGGTCTACATAGTAGACCCATTGCCCGCTTATAGGCAGGCAAATTGCCCCAGTTGGCTAGCTGTCAATATCATGAACAACTCGCACTGTGAGCAGGAGTAAATGCAACATATGTTAAAAAAATTCTCATTTTAAAACAATCAATTAATTTTTTTACCTTTCCCGGAAGGCTTTTTCAGCTCAAGCTTACTTTTTCCTTCTTGAACTGCATAAACAGGTTTTAAAACGATTGCATTCATAAAAATCAGGGTGGGGTACCAGGGACAGCACGTAGCCTCAATTTTGAGGAGTGCTTAAACAGTCAGCCTTGGAATGCTATCACCTCTTAAAATCTTCATTAAAGGGCCTTTAATTTCTGGTCCTGGATTATTGTGATGAGTGCATACTCTTGACATACATGTAACAGTTCCGGTAACTTTTTCCTAGCAGTAACAAAAAAGGAAAAGCCAGTGCTCATTTTCCTTCAGAATTTTTTCATGGCTCTTTATATAATTTAAGTCAAGGTCCTATCGATTAAACGCCCAATAATCGCGATATCTTTTGACTCTTGTGTCTGTAGTTAAAAAGTACAGTTACAACTACTGTCCGTCATAAAAAAAGTTCTCTTTCATGCACCTAACTTATCCACCAATTACCTACATTTTTCTTTGTCTGTAGATCCATTATGATATTTATTTCTAGGTAAAATAAAACCTTCATAGAACTAAGTCTCAATATCAGAATCTTATAGCGATGTGTAGACATTCCCACTTAATAATGATAGTCGACAATTAATTACCTTCTTTTCGTCTTCTTTGTCGGTACTGGCTTTCTCCATGGTGAACAGTAACTGCAACAAGATAGAGAGCACGCTTCATTTGACTAACATGTTGGTTGTTTCGTAAAGGCTCGGAAGTTAAGTAATCAGCTTATTCAAGTCACGATACGTTTAGATATAAACATAACTTCTTACCCAAATAAGGTAATCTATTACTAGAGTAGGAACAGCTCTAGAAACATGCCTGAAAAGCCTCAAACCTCACAATATAATTATACGATTAATTACTTAAATTCGTCCTCACTGATAGCGATCCTTCGAAGGTTTCAATCAGGTGTTGCTCATTTTCTCGGAAGACATTTATTTGTGAGCACCTTTGACGTGAATACCTCTAACTGCAAGTTTAACATTTCTCTGACAACATGCAAATTTGCAAATCAGAAGTTTTTCAATTGCGATGATCTTTTTGTTTCAGTAAGAGAAGGAGGAAATACGAAACTACTCTCGTGAATACACTGATTTTATTGCTGGTTATAATGTTAATAATATGGAATACCGATCTTGTCCGCGGTATGATGCAAAAAGAAAGAATAAAATCAAGTATTCCGTGCGCCAGCTCGGTAGCACTAGCCAATACTTTGGGTGATACAAGACATCCCTTGATTCATTGTTTTGTGAAGTAATATATTTTGCTTTAAAAATAATTAAAATTGAAAAGGCCTTACCTTTCACAGTCTTTTTAGTGGCTGGTCGGATGTCAAAACCATCCTCATAATCTGTTTCAAGGAACAAGTAGAGTAAACCATGTCATGAGGCTTTTGGTTCATGTTTTCTTCTTGAATACATTACTAAACAATTTCATTTTCTATTGGGTAATATCCATGTATATTCTATTATTTATTGATTGATGAAATATACAACTAAGCTATCCGACCAAAAAAAAAAAGGAATAGAAAAGTTTTGGTGTCTAGATAAGCATCTGTAATTTGCCGTGAACTTACAAAAATCGCAATTTATGAGTATAGCTGAAAGTCGTGATGGAAACGTTTTGTATTTCATTGCCGAAGATATCGCTGAAATAAAGAACATAATCACTTACAATTAGTAGGTAAAAAGTTTTTTTAAAATGTCATTTTCCTCATAAAATTACATTCAATGGCTGTAAAACTATCTGGTTCTCTACTATGTGTGTTTGCATTTTACTAATATCCACCCTTGCTCACTAAAATTATGTTTAAATAAGCGGTTCTTTTTGCACTGTCTATTCTACTTCATATTCAAATTTTTAAAGTAAGATCTCAGATTTGAAATGCTTCTATTATACTCTCCCCATCACTTTAAACATCCTAGCATGTCTTTTTTCTTTGTAATTAACCGTACTCACAGAGCATTGAGGTTTTTGACGCTCTCGAAAATTTTATCTGGCAAAGCCTCAATTTTGTTCTCCGAGAGATATCTTCAACAGGTGAAAGGAATAAAAGATAAATACGTAATTTTAGTAACATAATGAGATTTCAATTGGGTGTTGCACATTACATTTAAGCGATGTTGGAGTTAACATTACAATAATGTTTTAATTTTGGTTTTATCAACTGAGTTGATAAATTTGAAAGAGCTGTTGAGGGGCTATGTGGTTTGCGAATCAGATCATCTTGGGACAAAGTTTTAACTCTGAGTGTACTTACAGTTCGGACAAATTTACCAAGCCCTGGAACTGATCTTCATGAAGCCTCTCAATTTTGTTGTAGTCCATTTTCCTGAAAAAAGAAACAGGGAAACCTTAGACTGATATAAGCAGGTGTACCTGTGGACTGATATCTTTAACACTGTTTTTCAGTCATTACTGTAGTTCAGGCAAGACAATGGCATTTTATTTTCCCAAAAAAATAGCTCTTTATCTTCAAAGGAAAACATCAGACATAAGTATAATGCTCTCAAGGGTAAAATCGAAAACTTCTAAGTTTATTCCCAAGCGCCCTAAGAAGGTCTATTGTTTAAGCTAAATTTGAAAAATGATTTATGATCCATTTCCTGTTACAAATTACAAACTTATTGGGGTGGTTTGATCCTCCAGTACAACAACATAATATACAACGTATAAAGGAGACAAAAAACCGTTTGCCTTCTAAAAGTAGATTATTATTAGAGTTGCCATAAACTACGAAGCTGTTATATTTATCGCATTTAATGTTTCCAAGAAAATCCTTAAAAATTAATCTTCAATCTTTTATGTCCATGAGAATCTTACTCACAGAAATTCTACGGCTGTAATGTTTCTGAAGATGTGCGGTGGCAGACTTCTGAGTTCATTGTTTGACAAATCCCTGAAAAAAAACACCACAGCTAAGCTGATAATTCTAGTTAAGCTGATAATCGCTGAAAAAATCACCACGGTATAGCTGATAATTCTAATAATAGAATTATCAGCTAAGTGTTTCAAAGAATTTTACTTGTGCAGTGGCTTTTGGAGAAGAACTTTCAAAAACTGTAGTTTACTTGTGTACTGGCTTCCCCTTTTCTTATTGTTTTCATTACTATTACTATTTTATCATCATTGCTATGATTATCGCTATTATTATTATTAGTATCATTGTCAGCGTCATCACTTGCGCATCCGTTGGTTAATTGTTATCATATGTTAAAAACTGATACTTTATCCAGCAAATAGAAGAAACAAGATGCTTGTTGAGGCTGCTATTAAAATTAGAGCTTTTAAACATTTAAAACCTCAAGTATCTTAACATTACTTAACAAAGCACATCAACTGCATAAAATAGCATTCTGTTCCTCGTCGAATCAGATTCATCGAATCAGATTCACAAAGTCAAGCTGGAAAACTTCAGCTTATTTGAGCCGTGACAGCTGTGCTTTTGTAAACAATATCACAAAAATTATCAATTGGTTTTTCCCAATTATATCCTTTGTTAAATAACCATTTCACTCACAGATGTATCAGCTTGAAAAGGCTGTTAAAAATTCCGTCTGGCAGACTCTTCAACTTGTTATTTGACAGATAGCTGATGATGACAAAACAGGAAAATTAAATCGTCATTAAGTCTACGATCTGAAATTTATAAGTAACTTAAAATGAATACAGATGTTGGTCATCAAAAATACTTAAAGGGCTGAGTGATGCCATATGCGTACAAAGTGTGGCTTATAGTAC